TATATATATATATATATATATATATATATATATATATATATATATATGTACACATACATGTTATCCCCAAAATGCCCCCCGGGTGCATCCACTGCACCACCTGGTGGTGGATGGGTTAAATGCAGAAACTAATTTCGCCATTGTATGGAAACATACAGTGATGACGTTATTATTATTATTATTATTATTATATAAATATGTATATAGATGGAAGTGGTGGTGCAGAGGTTAGAGAAGGCGGACCTGTGATCAGAAGATCGTCGGATCAACTCCCGGTACCAACAACATTAAAAAAAACAAAGTAGGTGAGAATGGTGAAGCACCCACATCTGCCTCCACCCTCATTTGCCCCACTCTGGGCCCTTGAGCAATGCCCTTAAACCCCACCATCTGCTCCTCTGGTGCCTTAGATGGCAGCTCTCTGCTCCACACAGAGGGCTGAGGGAGCTCAGTGCTCTGTGGTTGTGTCAGGAAGGACATCCAGAGTAAAAATAATTGACAAATCTTCATGCTAGTTAGTTCACTGCGGCGACTGAAGAAGGAAGCAGCTGAAAAAATAAAAAATAAATAAAAATAAAAATATATATAAAGGAATTTTAAACCCTTCCCACACTTTTGCAATATCCTAAGCAAAATGCTCTAAAAGCACACAGCATGTGCTCTCTGTGCTCTCTGCCTCCCCCTGCCAGCGGCTCTCGGCCACGCCCACTTTTCAGTTGCAGACTGGAGATATGACACGCTGCAGGAGGAAGCTTTTCCTGCAGCTGTGGGCTGCAGCAGGTGCGAAATAATTTAAAATAATTGATTTTAAGTAAAAAAAATCCATGCCAATTGTGCGGCTCATCCATCAATCAGCCAATTGTGTGTCATGTCCAATCTTATTTTGAAAAACCGCGATAGAGCAAGTCCACAATAAACAAACTGCGAAGTAGCGAGGGACTACTGTACAACTAAAATCAGACTTTTGTCTGACAGTGTTGGTTCTGAATCTAGTCTCCAACAGTCAAAGCCAGTAAGATATTATCACTGCTGCCATGTGTGAGGCTGACTGGGACACAAAGGGCAGAAAGAAACTGCACAGCCTTTCTCCTCCACCCTTCCTGCTGCAGGGCACATTTCAAACAGCTGCTTTTCAAACAAACTGTCAATAATTTAGGTCCTGTAGGACACGATTGATTGGCTCCTTGGGCTGCGTGCCTGGAGTTTTAATTATTTTTGTTGAGGCTTTTATTTGCAGCAGTTTGATTATCATTAATCATGAAGTTGTTTATAGGTGAGCGGTGCAGTTAGAGCACTAAGACAAATGATGCTGGAATCGCTCTCATTATCACAGGTTGTATATCAGAAGAGGATGGAGCTGCTCTGTGAAAATGAGCAAGGCAGCAGCGTAGCTCCGGATTATAACTGTCTGAGAAAAGCTCCTCATTAATGAGTTTCTTCTAAAAATACTCTACAACCGGTGCTCTGTCACACACCTCTCAAGGTCGGTGGTTTGTGTGGCAGGATCAGTGCACATGCTGACACGACTCATCGTCTGCTGGTTGAAGGTGTTTTCACCTGTTACCTGCTGTCTATCCAGAGGGATGACCATGTGAGGAATCACAGCTGGCAGGCTGCTCTGTCGCTCGTGCTTCCACATCTGGAGCAGCTTGTGCTGGTTCTCCAGATGCTCACGCTCCCTCTCCACACTCCTCTGGCCTTCCCGAAGCCGCTCCAGACTTTGTTGGTACTCCTCTAGTTGCTCGTCCAGCTCCTCCCTCTCCCGCCTCAGCTTCTCCGCAGCCATCTGGCACTGCTTCTCTTGTTTTTCCAGCCTGCTCTCCTGCTCCTCTTGCTGGCTCCTCTTCGCCTGGCACTCACGCTCCCATCGCTCTTTCTCCTGACGCAGCTGCTCCTGGAGCCGGCGAGCTGATGCCACTTCCTCCTTCTGCTTCTCCAGGTTCCGCTGCTTCTCCTGCTCCAGCAGGGTGGTGCCCCGAAGTCTTGGAAGGTGCAGATACTGGGCACGGGACGAGGGACGCCCACTCTCTTGGAGAAGGAGCCGCTGGACTTCGTAGCAAGTGTCCTGGATGGATACAGCAGCCTGGCAGAGAAAAGGAGCCACAAAACAGGTTTCAATTAAAGGCCTAGCATCTCTGGAAGAAATGCATATCACCTGCTGCCTCACATTCCAGATGCTGGTGAAGATTCTCAGTCATCCAGGACATGATGAATTCAAAAAGCGTTCAATAGTTCAAAAGTCCAGTTGTTTTTGTATTGAATGCTTTTTGAACTCACATTCCAGAGTTAAATGAAATGTTAAATGTTAAGAAATGATGAATTTTGCCTGCTTTGGAAAATAAATATACTTGAAAATAACGTTGTGCAAGATTTCATGCAACATTGCAATTTGTTAGCACTCAAAGTTTCTGTGGTAAGTTAACCTCTGCTACTACCACTGAATTTCCTGAATATTTGAAAAACTGTCTGAGCCCTTTTAGTGTTTATAAAATAGGTTTAGCAGCCATCTTGAAATGGACTGACTCAGAAGAGTTAATCAGTTGCAGATGTATATCTGATGGTTACTTTATGAGTTTTATTCAAATCTGCCCTGTGGTTCCTGAGATATTTTGCTAACAGTCAAACAGACGAACAACAATAGTTAACGCTAGTTTTATGCAAAGATCTTGCACAAAAAAAAAATCTAAATTTGTATGCATCCTTTATGATTGTCTATTGTTGTCATCACTCTTTGTTAAATGAGTCACTGAGGCTCAATGGGACTAACCTGTATAAATAAAGGTTGAATGAAAACAACGTATAGCGCTCAGAGCAGGTTTTGGGATTGACTCTCTAGTACCAAAAAAAAAAAAAAGTAGCTCACTATCTGCAAAACTGTTTATTCTTTAAGGTCAATTAGCTGTGGTGGGATAGAGATGCCATAAAATGTTAAAAGTTGTTAATAATGTTCCATTAATAACTTTTGGGAAGTTTAAATTAAATTGTCTGGTACATTAGTTATTTTGGCTAAAAGAAAGACAAAAACACACAGAAACACAAACAGGCTAAAACATTTCCACCTACTGTTGGCCCTCAGCAGGTGTAATGTTCACCATGTTCCCCACACCCTGCTCACATACAGGAAGTCATTTGAAAGGCAAAATGTGATGGAAATAAGGACCAGGTTCAACAGCCGACCTACTTGTGTGTCGTTTGTTTATCTGGCTGCAGCATTCTCCTTACTCAAAGAACTGAGGTTTGTGGTTCCAAATGCAAAAGGAATACAAAACTTTGAATATGAAAATCGCAATGATCAAAACCCCAAATCCACACACACTCACACACCAAATGCAAATTCATACACACATGCCCTCTCCACATATTTGGATTTTATGCCAAAGAGAATAAAAACACAGAAGATCCTCGTATGTCTGTGAGCAGAAACAAGGATCAGTATGGAAGGGCTCCTGCAGCTCGCTGCGTTTGTCTTCAAACAGCTAGGTTTCTGTGTTCACTGAAGTCGGAGCTCGCAGGCCTGCACCTCCGCTCAGAGAGTGCATCTGCTCATTCTGAGCACAGTCAATGTTTGTTTGGTGACTAAACATAGATAAGTGCTGGGAGAACGCTTAAAAACTTCTGCTGGTTGTTCACTGAGTGCTGCTGCTCTTACCTCCAAACTGTACAGGAGCTGAGTCAGGGTGTGGACACGTTGAGCCACCTGTTAGTGGACAAAACCAACAGCATGCAGATCAGTACTCTGATCTTTTTAAACAAGATTATTTTAGTTTGATTCCATTTTTTGTACAGCACCATTTCACCACAAAAGTCATCTCAGGGAAATGTACAAAGAAAAAAATAAAAATAAAAGATCAAATCATGAATTATTCAGCCCAGAAACAATCCAGACTTACAGCCAACTCATTCTGAATTTATATTAAACCTTAAAATTCCTTAAAAGGATGAGCAGTATATCACCCACCACCTTTCAGACCAGTTAGCCTTTTGGTTCAACTTTGAAAACAATATTTTATACAGTCTTAATGGAATACTGTAATCTCTCGTTTATCGCGGGGGGGCCGTATCCTGAGGCTTCACGATAAGTGAAAAAACGCAAAGTAGTAGTAGTACAAGTAGTAAGTAGTAGTTTATTTTAGTATATGTGTATTGTCGATAAACCTGGTGTCCAAATGATGAAGTAACAGACAACCAGCTTTAATGAAGGTGAAGGCTGATCCATTCTCTAATTTCTTCTTCCTGAAACCCCCACCATGTTCTAGAGTCATCTCGGTGATGATATTCATGCCAAGCTTGGAGCAAGATTTTAACCGTTTTTTGTCTATGTAATTCTGTGCAGTCATATCGCCAAGTGGACATGACGGCGACCTCTGTCTCCCATAATCTACATTTGGGCGACGCCCCATTACTCTCCCACACTGAGTTGTTAAGGCTAAGAAAAATTTGTTCAGCCACACACTTATCTATTTTGTCAAAATCATCCTTAGGTGCACTAAGAAGCTCATCTGGTTTTGGTAGTTTTTGTACATACATGTCCGTATAATACGGTCCCATGA